CGCTCAGAGTTTCTTCCAGGCATACTTTTAACAGTGTCCGCCCCCCTTCCCCGAAGAAAGTCTACCGACCCCCCCCCCCCAAATTTCAAGTGCCCCCCGGAGAAACAAGTCTGGAAGAAACACTTCCTACGCTTGGGGTCCCATTTCTTTAGTTAACGGTGTTGGTCCTACGCTTGGGGTCCCATTTATTTAGTTAACGGTGTTGGCCCTACGGTCCCAGAGGGGTCATTATACCTGGACGTCCATGCTCGTCAAACCAACCACCCGTGACCAATAGGTTGTAGCAAGGTAGATGGGGTGTTCGCTAGAGATTAATCATATCATCTCCTTTTTTAATTTTTGTAATCTTTTAATTGATTTTTAGGAGTAATTAATATTTAATTATACTAAAATTAGATATTATTTCGTTGTTTTCGGAAACCAATTTTTAGAAACAGCCGTTGTGAATAAGACAAAAGTTTGTAAAAAGTTGGTCTCTGAAAGTTTAGCCAGTTCGTCGAGATCCGTCAGTTAAGGCTGGTCTAGCTAGTTTCACTTCAGTTGTCATGGTTAGGTTAAGGTGAAGATTAGTCACCGTGGTTAGGCTAAGGTGTAGATTAGTCATTGGAGCCATAAGCCTGCTACTACCATCCCACCTACATAATTTTACATATATACGTGTATCCACACACCCGCACCAACACATTTTCAACCACACAACTCTACCTAACCTACCCACATCAAGACATAACATCACCTACCCACATCAAGACATAACATCACATAGCCACATCAAGACATAACACCACATACCCACATCAAGACATAACATCACATAGCCACATCAAGACATAACATCACATACCACATCAAGACATAACATCACATCAAGACATAACATCACCTACCCACATCAAGACATAACATCACATACCCACATCAAGACATAACATCACATACCCACATCAAGACATAACATCACATAGCCACATCAAGACATAACATCACCTACCCACATCAAGACATAACACCACATACCACATCAAGACATAACATCACATACCACATCAAGACATAACATCACATCAAGACATAACATCACCTACCCACATCAAGACATAACATCACATACCCACATCAAGACATAACATCACATACCCACATCAAGACATAACATCACATAGCCACATCAAGACATAACATCACCTACCCACATCAAGACATAACATCACATACCCACATCAAGACATAACATCACATAGCCACATCAAGACATAACATCACATACCACATCAAGACATAACATCACATACCCACATCAAGACATAACATCACATAGCCACATCAAGACATAACACCACATACCCACATCAAGACATAACATCACATACCCACATCAAGACATAACATCACATAGCCACATCAAGACATAACATCACATACCACATCAAGACATAACATCACATCAAGACATAACATCACCTACCCACATCAAGACATAACATCACATACCCACATCAAGACATAACATCACATACCCACATCAAGACATAACATCACATAGCCACATCAAGACATAACACCACATACCCACATCAAGACATAACATCACATACCCACATCAAGACATAACATCACATACCACATCAAGACATAACACCACATACCCACATCAAGACATAACACCACATACCCACATCAATACATAACATCACATACCCACATCAAGACATAACATCACCTACCCACATCAAGACATAACATCACATACCCACATCAAGACATAACATCACATACCCACATCAAGACATAACATCACATAGCCACATCAAGACATAACATCACATAGCCACATCAAGACATAACATCACCTACCCACATCAAGACATAACATCACATACCCACATCAAGACATAACATCACATACCCACATCAATACATAACATCACATAGCCACATCAAGACATAACATCACCTACCCACATCAAGACATACCATCACATACCCACATCAATACATAACATCACATAGCCACATCAAGACATAACATCACCTACCCACATCAAGACATAACACCACATACCCACATCAAGACATAACATCACCTACCCACATTAAGACATAACATCACATACCCACATCAAGACATAACATCACCTACCCACATTAAGACATAACATCACATAGCCACATCAAGACATAACATCACCTACCCACATTAAGACATAACATCACATACCCACATCAAGACATAACACCACATACCCACATCAATACATAACATCACATACCCACATCAAGACATAACATCACCTACCCACATTAAGACATAACATCACATACCCACATCAAGACATAACATCACCTACCCACATTAAGACATAACATCACATAGCCACATCAAGACATAACATCACATACCCACATCAAGACATAACATCACATACCCACATCAATACATAACATCACATACCCACATCAAGACATAACACCACATACCCACATCAAGACATAACATCACATACCCACATCAAGACATAACACCACATACCCACATCAATACATAACACCACATACCCACATCAAGACATAACATCGCATACCCACATTAAGACATAACATCACATAGCCACATCAAGACATAACATCACCTACCCACATCAAGACATAACACCACATACCCACATCAAGACATAACATCACATACCCACATCAAGACATAACATCACATACCCACATCAAGACATAACATCACATACCAACATCAAGACATAACATCACATCAAGACATAACATCACCTACCCACATTAAGACATAACATCACCTACCCACATCAAGACATAACATCACATACCCACATCAAGACATAACATCACATACCCACATCAAGACATAACATCACATAGCCACATCAAGACATAACATCACCTACCCACATCAAGACATAACACCACATACCACATCAAGACATAACATCACATACCACATCAAGACATAACATCACATCAAGACATAACATCACCTACCCACATCAAGACATAACATCACATACCCACATCAAGACATAACATCACATACCCACATCAAGACATAACATCACATAGCCACATCAAGACATAACATCACCTACCCACATCAAGACATAACATCACATACCCACATCAAGACATAACATCACATAGCCACATCAAGACATAACATCACATACCACATCAAGACATAACATCACATACCCACATCAAGACATAACATCACATAGCCACATCAAGACATAACACCACATACCCACATCAAGACATAACATCACATACCCACATCACGACATAACATCACATAGCCACATCAAGACATAACATCACATACCACATCAAGACATAACATCACATCAAGACATAACATCACCTACCCACATCAAGACATAACATCACATACCCACATCAAGACATAACATCACATACCCACATCAAGACATAACATCACATAGCCACATCAAGACATAACACCACATACCCACATCAAGACATAACATCACATACCCACATCAAGACATAACATCACATACCACATCAAGACATAACACCACATACCCACATCAAGACATAACACCACATACCCACATCAATACATAACATCACATACCCACATCAAGACATAACATCACCTACCCACATCAAGACATAACATCACATACCCACATCAAGACATAACATCACATACCCACATCAAGACATAACATCACATAGCCACATCAAGACATAACATCACATAGCCACATCAAGACATAACATCACCTACCCACATCAAGACATAACATCACATACCCACATCAAGACATAACATCACATACCCACATCAATACATAACATCACATAGCCACATCAAGACATAACATCACCTACCCACATCAAGACATAACATCACATACCCACATCAATACATAACATCACATAGCCACATCAAGACATAACATCACCTACCCACATCAAGACATAACATCACCTACCCACATCAAGACATAACATCACCTACCCACATTAAGACATAACATCACATACCCACATCAAGACATAACATCACCTACCCACATTAAGACATAACATCACATAGCCACATCAAGACATAACATCACCTACCCACATTAAGACATAACATCACATACCCACATCAAGACATAACACCACATACCCACATCAATACATAACATCACATACCCACATCAAGACATAACATCACCTACCCACATTAAGACATAACATCACATACCCACATCAAGACATAACATCACCTACCCACATTAAGACATAACATCACATAGCCACATCAAGACATAACATCACATACCCACATCAAGACATAACATCACATACCCACATCAATACATAACATCACATACCCACATCAAGACATAACACCACATACCCACATCAAGACATAACATCACATACCCACATCAAGACATAACACCACATACCCACATCAATACATAACACCACATACCCACATCAAGACATAACATCGCATACCCACATTAAGACATAACATCACATAGCCACATCAAGACATAACATCACCTACCCACATCAAGACATAACACCACATACCCACATCAAGACATAACATCACATACCCACATCAAGACATAACATCACATACCCACATCAAGACATAACATCACATACCAACATCAAGACATAACATCACATCAAGACATAACATCACCTACCCACATTAAGACATAACATCACATAGCCACATCAAGACATAACATCACATAGCCACATCAAGACATAACATCACATACCCACATCAAGACATAACATCATATACCCACATCAACACATAACATCACATAGAAAATGTGTTGAAATATTTGACCAGAGAATGTTTTGTCCTGGCAATAATTCCACAAAACAAAGTCCCGTAAAAAAAAATTACAGACAATTTTCACTTCTCAGTTTTTTATTAAACCTGTCAGTTGTCATGAAAACTTTTGTTTTTTCCTTCCCCCCCCCCCCGGCAGCTGACAGATGAAGAACGTGTGTTTCTTAACGCCGCCTACCTGGGTGACGTGGGTATCGTACGTCAGTCCCTAGAGGATTCGGTGGAGAGCTCGCTCAACGTCAACTGTGTGGACTACATGGGGCGCAACGCCCTGCACCTGGCCATAGACTCGGAGAAACTCGACGTCATCGAGATCTTGCTGGACAACCTCAGCTTCAACTGCATCGAGGAGGCTCTGCTCCACGCCATCTCCAAGGGCGCCACCAAGATCGTCAAGCTCATCATCGAGCACCCCAACTTCATGGCGGGGGAGGACAAACTGCGGCGCATGGGTGGGGGGGACGCCTTCTTCAGGCTGGAGGAGAAGAGCCAGTTCCCCCCGGATATAACGCCGCTGATCCTGGCGGCCCACTACAACAACCACGAGATCATCCAGATGTTCCTGTCCAGGAACCACACCATCGAGAAGCCACACCCCATCTCCTGCAAGTGCCAGGACTGTGTCACCAAACAAAACTACGACTCATTAAAGCGGTCAAGGTCACGGCTCAACGCCTACAGGGCCCTGGCCAGCCCTGCGTACATGGCCTTGTCCAGCCCTGACCCCATCATGACGACCTTTGAACTCCGGCAGGAAATGATGAAGTTAGCGGAAGTGGAGAAGGAATTTAAGGTAGGTCAAGGACAATGTTCTGGAATTATTTCAATGAATGTTTAGCGTAGATTTACGGTTGTTTGTGTACATTTACAACTCTTTATCTAGATTTACAGTTGTTTTTGTAGATTTACAACAGAGAGCATGCAGACCCTCAAAACTGAAAGAACGGATTCATCTGGGTTTTTTTTTCAATCATGGTTTTGTCTACCTGTTTTTTTTTTATCCAGATTTTTTTTTTTTTAAAAAGTCGCTTCAGACTATTACATTCTTCTAAACAAATAAATCATTGCTACATTAATATTAACACATTTATTTTTACATTCCTCAAAAGTGTTTCAAAATCATTCATTCCTACATTATTGTGAATTCTTTTTTTACTTTCTCGTATATACGTAGTATAGAGAAAGTATTGTAATCGTGCAAAAAAAAAATAAACCGGGAGTGATCTCCCCTAAACTTTCTCGAATATTCTAATATAACACTACAGGGGATGGCAACTCGGGATATAGACTTCTAGACATGATTTTTAATCCATTTTAAATACTCACATTTCTTAAAATAGAATATAATCTCGTAGAAAAAAGAAATGCACACCAAGTGAACGCTAAATAAAAAAGCGCATAATAGTGCGCAATATTATTACTACTTTATAAATTTACATGCGTTTTTTGAGAAATCGGAAATAGCGTAAATAAGTACTTCCGGTCAATGGAAATTACTCAAAATTTGACAGAAGGTAGAGAATTAGATCTTTTACTTACATTTCAAATTTCATTTATCTATCTGAAATAGTACTCAAGTTATAGGCTTTTGAAAAATTCAAAGTAGAAAAAGTACCACTTCCGGTTATCGGAATTCGCTCAAAAGTTGATACGGATCTACGATTTTGATAAAATACTTATATATGAAATTTCATCAACCTAGCTGTAACGGTACTCAAGTAATCGTGTTTACACACCGACACACAGACACAGACACACACACACACACACAGAGAGACATACGACAAGATTGCAAAATTATGTTTTTCCGTATCAGTGAGGTGTAAAACGTCGAGATTTGTAAAAATCTCGATTTTTTTTTTTTTTGCACGATTACAATACTTTCTCTATACTACGTATATACGAGAAAGTAAAAATCGAGATTTTTACAAATGTCCTACTTAAGACCCCGTCCTATTTCAGATCCCCGTCCTACTTCAGACCCCCGTCCTACTTCAGACCCCCGTCCTGTCCTACTTCAGACCCCCGTCCTACTTCAGACCCCCGTCCTACTTCAGACCCCCGTCCTACTTCAGACCCCCGTCCTACTTCAGACCCCCGTCCTACTTCAGACCCCCGTCCTGTCCTACTTCAGACCCCTGTCCTACTTCAGACCCCCGTCCTGTCCTACTTCAGACCCCCGTCCTGTCCTACTTCAGACCCCCGTCCTACTTCAGACCCCCGTCCTACTTCAGACCCCGTCCTACTTCAGACCCCTGTCCTACTTCAGACCCCCGTCCTGTCCTACTTCAGACCCCCGTCCTACTTCAGACCCCCGTCCTACTTCAGACCCCCGTCCTACTTCAGACCCCCGTCCTACTTCAGACCCCAGTCCTACTTCAGACCCCCGTCCTACTTCAGACCCCCGTCCTACTTCAGAACCTCGTGTCCTACTTTAGACCCCCGTCCTACTTCAGAACCTCGTGTCCTACTTCAGACCCCCGTCCTACTTCAGACCCCCGTCCTACTTTAGACCCCCGTCATACTTCAGACCCCCGTCCTACTTCAGACCCCCGTCCTGTCGTACTTCAGACCCCCGTCCTACTTCAGACCCCAGTCCTACTTCAGACCCCCGTCCTACTTCAGACCCCCGTCCTACTTCAGACCCCTGTCCTGTCGTACTTCAGACTCCCGTCCTACTTCAGACCCCCGTCCTGTCCTACTTCAGACCCCAGTCCTACTTCAGACCCCCGTCCTGTCCTACTTCAGACCCCCGTCCTACTTCAGACCCCCGTCCTACTTCAGACCCCCGTCCTACTTCAGACCCCCGTCCTACTTCAGACCCCCGTCCTACTTCAGACCCCCGTCCTACTTCAGACCCCCGTCCTACTTCAGACCCCCGTCCTACTTCAGACCCCCGTCCTACTTCAGACCCCCGTCCTACTTCAGACCCCCGTCCTGTCCTACTTTAGACCCCCGTCGTACTTTAGACCCCCGTCCTACTTCAGAACCTCGTGTCCTACTTTAGACCCCCGTCCTACTTCAGAACCTCGTGTCCTACTTCAGACCCCCGTCCTACTTCAGACCCCCGTCCTACTTCAGACTCCCGTCCTACTTCAGAACCTCGTGTCCTACTTTAGACCCCCGTCCTACTTCAGAACCTCGTGTCCTACTTCAGACCCCCGTCCTACTTCAGACCCCCGTCCTACTTCAGACCCCCGTCGTACTTTAGACCCCCGTCCTACTTCAGACCCCCGTCCTGTCGTACTTTAGACCCCCGTCCTGTCGTACTTTAGACCCCCGTCCTGTCGTACTTTAGACCCTCGTCGTACTTTAGACCCCCGTCCTACTTCAGACCCCCGTCCTACTTCAGACCCTCGTCCTACTTTAGACCCCCGTCCTACTTCAGACCCCCGTCCTACTTCAGACCCCCGTCCTGTCCTACTTCAGACCCCCGTCCTGTCCTACTTCAGACCCCCGTCCTGTCCTACTTCAGACCCCCGTCCTGTCCTACTTCAGACCCTCGTCCTGTCCTACTTCAGACCCTCGTCCTGTCCTACTTCAGACCCCCGTCCTACTTCAGACCCCCGTCCTGTCCTACTTCAGACCCTCGTCCTGTCCTACTTCAGACCCCCGTCCTGTCCTACTTCAGACCCCCGTCCTGTCCTACTTCAGACCCCCGTTCTGTCCTACTTCAGACCCTCGTCCTGTCCTACTTCAGACCCCCGTCCTGTCCTACTTCAGACCCCCGTCCTACTTCAGACCCCCGTTCTGTCCTACTTCAGACCCTCGTCCTGTCCTACTTCAGACCCCCGTCCTACTTCAGACCCCCGTCCTGTCCAAACTTCAGACCCTCGTCCTACTTCAGACCCCCGTCCTGTCCTACTTCAGACCCCCGTCCTACTTCAGACCCCCGTCCTACCTCAGACCCCCGTCCTACTTCAGACCCCCGTCCTGTCCCACTTCAGACCCCCGTCCTACTTCAGACCCCCGTCCTGTCCTACTTCAGACCCCCGTCCTACTTCAGACCCCCGTCCTACCTCAGACCCCCGTCCTACTTCAGACCCCCGTCCTACTTCAGACCCCCGTCCTACTTCAGACCCCCGTCCTACTTCAGACCCCCGTCCTACTTCAGACCCCCGTCCTACTTCAGACCCCCGTCCTACTTCAGACCCCCGTCCTGTCCTACTTCAGACCCCCGTCCTACTTCAGACCCCCGTCCTACTTCAGACCCCGTCCTACTTCAGACCCCCGTCCTACTTCAGACCCCCGTCCTACTTCAGACCCCCGTCCTACTTCAGACCCCCGTCCTGTCCCACTTCAGACCCCCGTCCTACTTCAGACCCCCGTCCTACTTCAGACCCCCGTCCTACTTACGACCCCCGTCCTACTTCAGACCCCCGTCCTACTTCAGACCCCCGTCCTACTTCAGACCCCCGTCCTACTTCAGACCCCCGTCCTACTTCAGACCCCCGTCCTACTTCAGACCCCAGTCCTACTTCAGACCCCCGTCCTACTTCAGACCCCCGTCCTACTTCAGACCCCTGTCCTGTCGTACTTCAGACTCCCGTCCTACTTCAGACCCCCGTCCTGTCCTACTTCAGACCCCCGTCCTACTTCAGACCCCCGTCCTGTCCTACTTCAGACCCCCGTCCTACTTCAGACCCCCGTCCTACTTCAGACCCCCGTCCTACTTCAGACCCCCGTCCTACTTCAGACCCCCGTCCTACTTCAGACCCCCGTCCTACTTCAGACCCCCGTCCTACTTCAGACCCCCGTCCTACTTCAGACCCCCGTCCTACTTCAGACCCCCGTCCTACTTCAGACCCCCGTCCTGTCCTACTTTAGACCCCCGTCGTACTTTAGACCCCCGTCCTACTTCAGAACCTCGTGTCCTACTTTAGACCCCCGTCCTACTTCAGAACCTCGTGTCCTACTTCAGACCCCCGTCCTACTTCAGACCCCCGTCCTACTTCAGACTCCCGTCCTACTTCAGAACCTCGTGTCCTACTTCAGACCCCCGTCCTACTTCAGACCCCCGTCCTACTTCAGACCCCCGTCCTACTTTAGACCCCCGTCCTACTTCAGAACCTCGTGTCCTACTTCAGACCCCCGTCCTACTTCAGACCCCCGTCCTACTTCAGACCCCCGTCGTACTTTAGACCCCCGTCCTACTTCAGACCCCCGTCCTGTCGTACTTTAGACCCCCGTCCTGTCGTACTTTAGACCCCCGTCCTTTCGTACTTTAGACCCTCGTCGTACTTTAGACCCCCGTCCTACTTCAGACCCCCGTCCTACTTCAGACCCTCGTCCTACTTTAGACCCCCGTCCTACTTCAGACCCCCGTCCTACTTCAGACCCCCGTCCTGTCCTACTTCAGACCCCCGTCCTGTCCTACTTCAGACCCCCGTCCTGTCCTACTTCAGACCCCCGTCCTGTCCTACTTCAGACCCTCGTCCTGTCCTACTTCAGACCCTCGTCCTGTCCTACTTCAGACCCCCGTCCTACTTCAGACCCCCGTCCTGTCCTACTTCAGACCCTCGTCCTGTCCTACTTCAGACCCCCGTCCTGTCCTACTTCAGACCCCCGTCCTGTCCTACTTCAGACCCCCGTTCTGTCCTACTTCAGACCCTCGTCCTGTCCTACTTCAGACCCCCGTCCTGTCCTACTTCAGACCCCCGTCCTACTTCAGACCCCCGTTCTGTCCTACTTCAGACCCTCGTCCTGTCCTACTTCAGACCCCCGTCCTACTTCAGACCCCCGTCCTGTCCAAACTTCAGACCCTCGTCCTACTTCAGACCCCCGTCCTGTCCT